TAAGTTTCTCTGATTTATTATGCAAAAGAATGGAGATTTATTTGAGGATATAATTTCTATAGTTAAGACTTGATGGTTGAAATAGAGAAATGCCTTGAAAGTTGCGGGCTTCGAAAATTCAACGACCGCTTCACAAGATAATTTTCTACATTTTATTTATTTTATTTTTTCTGTTTTGAGAGAGCTTTTGATGGTCAAATTTTCAGAAGGCCGATTGGATTTTAGAAAAGACATTACCCAGAGATATCGCCCTCATTTAGCAAGGATTTTTTTTATCTGAGATTCAAGGTTTCCCATATGCGCAAGTCGTTATGGTTAATTACCCCTCCCGATAACGGGAGAACACTTTCGATTAAGTCTAGTCATTAAAAATTGAGTATTCAACATATAAACTAGTAGACTTAGGACTTTAAATTGTAAAATTTATCATTTGAAGCATAAAGCGAATGTTGCGAGAATGAAGATGAAACCCGATCAAGATCTCATGGTTTCGTCATCCTTGACCATCATGGTTTCTAATCTACACAGTCAGAGGAGGTAGTTGGCCCAACCTGATAGAAGGAATCCTGTTATCAGTCTTGGGTTATGCCGTCCAAGATATCCTTGTAGATCTGTGATAGACGTTTGTCTAAGAAGATAAATTTAAGTTGATCTTAGCTAATAGAAGGTTTTGTGTCAATCAATTATACTCTTATGATTCACAACTCAAATGGTAGAAATTCATTGGGGAACATGTGGGTTGCGTTCGTGATCGTATTATAATGGTACCATTTGGCGGAAACCACCTGGTCAGAGAGCTCTGAACTTAACCGCTACTTTCTGATGTCCTTTGGCGGTAAAACCACACGAAGAGAGAACTCGGGTTACGTCCTTGCTGGTATGCAATTGCTTTGATTGTAAATATAAGAATGCATTTAATGTGACATTAACTTTTTGTGTGTTGAAATCAATAAAAAATTTATCACCCTCGACAAACCGTTGCGAGCGGTGGATGGAATTTTGCTTTAAGCTTTTAGTGCTTGAATTTTGCTTGGATATTTTAATTAATTATTTTGAAAGTTTTGATTTTAAAAAATGACCCATTCGGTTGAAATCTTCTATCAACTCAGCCATCATCAGGGTATTTTAACATTTAAAACATTTATATTTGAAGAGGGGCATTCACTTTTGTCAATTTAAGCTTTTCAAACCGTAAATTCCGTTGATTCATGTCCTTATAGAAAGGATAATCAACTAGGTGATTTCGACTTATAATTTTCTATTTTAAGATTTGGACAGTTATTATGGTTTACTAGATTTGCCAACTCTAATCTTTATGAGGAGAGGGATCAGACTAATTCGATGGGACTTACAACCCTGTTCTATAGACAAAACGACCTGATTAGCCCACACAACATTCTCGAACCTAATATTTGATCATTTGATATACTAGTAGACTTGGAGCACATACGAGTGTTTAAGTTTCATGTAGTTGAGCTATTTTACTTGTAGCATTTGATGCCTTAAGACAATTTACATGATTTTAAAACATGAGTTAAATCCGAGAGCTTGCACATAAAATTTCATTTTAAGCATTTTATTGCCTTCTGTTTGTTAGCAGACACGTTGTGAGTGACGGGTTTATTCCAAATTTTAAAATAACTCAATGTTTGAATTATCCTTCGCACCTAGAAGCCTAAGTCCAAAAATTTAACTTTAAATTGATTTTGAAACTTTAGGAGCCTAAGTCTGAAAAGCTTGATTTCAAAATATTTTTAAAATCTTATGAGATTAAATTTTAAAAATCAAAATTTTAACATTATAAGTCTTAAGAACTTATATTTTAATTGCCCAGAGCTATAACATGTTAAAACCGTAAGAGCCTTAATTTAAAAGCCCAAATTTTAAGGTAATTTTACACATAAATAGCGTCAATATTTAAAAGCCCAAGTCCCCCGATATTTTAAATCCTAAGAGCCTAAAGTTTTTAAAAACTTGATATTAGAAGTCATTTTAAAATTTGAGTGAGTAATGTTCTATTTTATTTTAAAAGTCTAAAATGCTAAACGTTTTAATGTGATTAAAAGTCCAATCTTAAAAGACAGAACGTGCCTTCAATGTATCTGCATAGAAGGGTTAGCTCGCAAACCAACTTTTCCTGAGAGGTACTTTGTTTTCTCAGAAGGATACACAATTCCCCATAGAGAGATACTCAGAATCCCATGAGCGTGTATTTTAAAATTCTCATTTCAGGAAAAAAAAAATCCAAACGAGTTCATGTTTTTCATCCACCGGTACCTAATTTTTTCATGAACAAATAATCACGCTCTCTCGAATGGATATTTTGAAAATTACTCCTTTTGCCCCTAATTTGTATATTCAGGAAATGTTAGATCCTAAAGAGCCTCACAATTTTAAAAGAATTGGTCAAAGGAACTCGTAATTTCCCCACCTGATAAGAGATGGAGGTTTTCAAAAAGTTGCCCCATTGCCCCAACATTTTTTCTGTAATTACAACACGCAAGAATAAGGCAAAATAAAATTAGTAAGTGAACATTAAAGTCTCTCTTTGATGGGATAAAGGCTGTGGAAGGGTAAAATTCAAATTTATGAAATCAAATAAGAGTAAAATTCAAATTTATGAAATCAAATAAGACTCCTTGAGCATAAGTGCATAACAAAGCTTTCCTCTTATTTGATTAACAGACAGGAGAGGAGGTCGGGCTTTAGGGCAGAGAGAAAGGAAGGCTCGGTCGCGAGCGCGGCTTGATTTCGGCGCGAGGCAGAAAAGATCGCGGGTAGGGTTTGGTGAGTCGCGGCACAGCGAGGAGAGGTATCGGCCAGAAATTGCGTGGCTACCATTGAGGGGTGAAACGGTGAAAGCTAACGGCAGGGGGTTTCATCGCAGGGCGATCGGCAGTGTGAGGCCAGGACAGAGGCCTTTTGCTTCGTGCGAGCATTGAAAGAGAGTTTGAGGTCTCGGCACTGTGCAAGGATTGATTGGCAGGGGTGTGGATTAGGAAAAAAAATAGACAGCTAAGGGTATGAAATGCACCTTTTAGACTAGTTGATAAGATTATGAAAATTTATGAATGATGTGTTGAACATATTGGACTAAACTTAACATAAATGAAGGAAAATCCAAAATGACAACCCCAATTAGCCGGAGAAGGCTAATGATAATGAAGCACTAGCTTGTATTGATTGTTGTGTTTTGATCTAAGTGTGTTCTTTCAAAAGTGATCTTATCCTTGTTATTGCAACTCAGTCTAAACATTGTTTTGCAAGCTATAGTTCCCACTGAATCTGCTAAAATTATTAATAAGATATTTCTAATCAATTAATTTAAAGAAACAAACAATGCTTCTATTTACAAAATATAAATATACCTTAAATTATTTATGGAAGTGTAAATCTTTTTAAATTTTAACATTTTGGGAATGTCTATTTTAATCTAAGCTTGTTTTTGTCTAGTTTAGAATTATTTAAAACAACATTAGTCTTATGGCTTAGAGTTAATGAAATAACCCATTTGATACAACTAAATATTGTAATTTTGGATCACATACTATTGTGACTCTTCTCAACAGGACAGACCGAAGAAAGAAGATTCAAGTATCCGACCACATTCAGTGGGATAAAGTCTTGCTGTTGTCGTTGTATACCTTTGTCACTCTTGCTCTTCTTGGTTCTTGACAGTACCGCTTGTTTGGAAATATCCCCAGCAAAAAACATGCACTAAATTGTGCTTGTAGCATGACTCTCTTTCTGGCTGGCATGCTTCCGCCGACCAGTAGCATCTTCAATGCATGTTATGAAAACCCTTTGCGCGGAGGGTGCCATTTTCTGGCCACCCCAGTTCCAACTCTTTGTAAGCTTTTATCCTTACCTAACTAGTCTGCATTTTTTGTTAAATATGGTGGTTGTGAAATGATTGTGTTTATTTTACTGTCATTGCAGTGAGAAGCCGAGTGTCTCTAAAGATTGAAGCGAGAGGTATTCCTCGAAAGGAGAGCGCCAAGATCAGGAATCGTAGAATGCGGAGAAAGGTATGCACATCTCCTTTTTCTTATTTCCTCATTTATTGAGGCCTTCAAATTCTTACAATGTTAGCTTTGTTCTTTTGTCGGTTAATCTCTTACTTGCTAGGAAATGAAGATATCATAATGTTAGAAAAAAGATTGGGAGAGAAGGGAATAAGAGAAACGAATCATAAGATTTTTGTAACACACAAGGAAGATTAGTCAAATATTTGCATCAAATGTGAGATATCTACCAAATCCTGGATTTACACCGTCGAACGCCTCTACAATTACAAGAAAATCTCTATTTTCTTCTCTCCCTCTCTCTTCCTCTCTTTCTTTTAACTCTCAAGAGGACTTGGCTTGACATTGCTTGGGTTGACTTCCCCTTTAAGCCAAAAGAGACTATTTATAGAAACCATGAGAGCGGTAGGTGGGAGGTAGGTGAGTGATCCCTGGATACTTAATTCTTCTGCACAGTATAATAATAGTTATGATGATATTTTTTACTTATATTTTCTTATTTTGCAACAAAACAAAAAATTTGATCCTGAAAAAAAAATAAGAATTTAACTTTTTAATTTATATATATTTATATTGGGATACTATGCAAGTATAAATATCGTTATTAAGTAATATAAGACTTTTTTATTAAGACCTGAATATCGAATCCACAGGGAAGATTATGCAATATACAAATTTTAGAAAATTTTTATATTTTTAAAAAGATAATTACTTAAACTAAAAACGAATTTTTTAGGAATTTAAAATTTAAATATTTTTTGTATTTTTGATATTTTAACGAAAAAACAACTAAAAAGATAACTAAATTTTTTGTAGAAGAAAAATATTTAATATGAAAATATCTTTCTTCTTATCATGAATCAGTAATAAGTATAATAATTATGTAATGGAATTATGCAAATTATGTTGTGTCAAATATGAGCAATAATATTTTTTACCCTTACTAAATATGCTATAAAAAATATTGGCCAATTTAAAATTTGAATAGTTCTTAAGACCGGCTACGCAGGGAAGATACTAGCTCTCATTTTAGAGTTCCTTCGATTCTCTCCACCTGGGGGCTAACATTCTCGTATAAGAACCTAAAACAATAAACTAAGTTGGGGGTTTTAACTTATCACCTTAAAGTCCTCTAACTCTACTCCCATCAATGAATATTTCTCTATTTATTTGCACTCAATCATGTGAACTACATTCTCATTCATACAACCTTATGTGATTCTTTACAATTGTTGACTGAGACAATACTAGCCCGGTTCTTACATGTTCTCACAAAAAATTTTAATCCCGGTTCTTATATGTTCTTACAACAAATTTTAACTTCTGGATTAGCCAAATCAAGAAGTAAATGAAGTGCATGGATTTAATTCTTCACAACTTCTATCCAAAACTTAATTACTTATCATTTTAAGAAGAAAAATAAAGAAAATTACTCAGAATTTCTTGAGAAAACAAAATCACACTTTAGTTTAAAAGAAGAAATCATTGTCAAACCAACAACAAGTCTCAATTAAAACCAAAAGTAGTCTAAAACAAAAAGATAAAAATTTCTCTCAAGTCCTCCACCAAACTCTTGAATTTTCTTTGAATCTCTTCTCTTTTACAATCACTCAAGACAAAATAATAAAAAGGATAAAGTAAATAAAAAGTTGTTCATGAAAATCTCTCCGATCTAACTCTCTAGAAAAGAACTTTCAAAACTTATCAATATTTTCATGACTTTTTTTTAAGTCATCTCCATGACTTTTTTCTAAGTCATCTCTTATTTCTTTTATAGTTTTCCTAGAGGTGTCTTGAAATCTCTTCAAAATATGTCTTGATTCGATGTATTTGCCTAAGAGACGTATCATTTCATGATAATTTTCGTCTATGATGGTTGCAATTGCAACCACTTATTAAGTCAATGGGTGCCTCAAAAATCTATTCGAAATTTGTGAAAATCAATTTTACTTGTCTAGTAACTGCCTCTGGCGCTTAAGCGCCGGATCTGACGTTTAGGCGTCAAAACTCTTTTACACAATTTTTCACATTTTTGCTCTAAATTTGATTCTTTTTCACTCATTTAAACATTTTTTACATTTTTACTTGTATCTGCAAGAAAAACACAAAAATATCTTTCATTGAAGCGTAATATCTCAATAATAGGTGTAAAAATATTTCTGAAAAAACTATATATTTTAGATGTATCAGTGGGCTGTATGTGAGATTCTTAATTAGGAAGTTAATTAAATTTCGGTGGACCGGATCTCCACATTATCCAATAATTCTCCCACTTGGAGATTGGGACACTGACTGCATCACTTACTGGCTGCATCATCTACTAGATGTACCGACTTTTTTCTCAAACATGATATCCTCCACCTCAGCAACTCGAAGCCCATGTCTTCATGTCAGAAGACCAGCTGAAGTTCAGCACAACTTTAGGTTCTCACGAGTAACACCCTCAATTGACGTATCACCGTTAACGTAGTCTTGTACCACTAAGCTCTTTCTTGGGTTACTCATGTATCTGCTTATAACTTTCACTGCATGAGTAATATCTTGCCCCTTTTAAAAGCCCTTTTTAACAAGTTCAGCCTTGTACCTCTTACTACCACCAAACACAGTCTTCACCTGACACACAAACTTGTTATACTTGTTTTGCAATGTCTTTTTCCTTGGTAGAAGTTCTGCCAGCTCCCAAGTCTGATTCCCTGGCAGGGAATCCGTCTCCTCCATCTTGGTCAGCTCCCACTTGCTCGAATTCTCATTTTGCGAAATTTTTTCATAACTCTGTGGTTCTCCACCATTTGTTTGTACAAGGTCCGATTTTCCTGCCTTTGGCGCTCTGCCACTTTTAGGAAATTGTCCTTTTTATGCTTCCCCATAATGCATCTCTAACTCATGTGTCATCGCCTGAGTAAACTTGTAGTCATATATAGTGTGTCAGGTTTCTTACCCCGAGCCAGTACTAATGCTCTTTTGGTAACTTTCCAGATGTTATCTGAGAACACTACCGAATGACCACCATTATTGAGCTGCCCGACAAAGATGAGATTTTTCTTCAACTCAGGAACGTGCCTGGCCATTTGCAAAGTCCATTTGCTTTTATTAGGGAGTGCAATATCAACTTCTTCCATCCCCACCACGTCCAGAGCTTTTCCATCAGCCAGATACATCTTCTCAAAGTTACCTGGAACATAATTTCGCATTAACTCCCGACGGCAGGATGTATGGAAGGAAGCCCCTGAATCCAGTATCCAGTCATCAACAGAACTGTGAACTGCCAGAAATAGGGTATCTTGTATTTCTTCAGTTATAACACTAGTGTCATCATTCTCTTTATTCTTAGAATTCCTGCAGTTCTTTTTTTATGTGGTCAGCTTTGCCACAATTCAAGCATCTGCTAACCAGACTTTGATTTTGATCTTCCTCTGTTTGAGTTCCTGTCATGTGATCTCCCTCTGTAATCAAAATTCAACGCCGAACTTGAACACGAGACCTCGTCAAAATTCTTTCTGCGCACTTTCTCAGCTAAAATCAAATCACGAATATCATCATATTTCAGTTTAGATTTATCTGCAGAACTACTAACTAACTGTCATCCTCATTCATTGCTTCCCAGCTATTTGACATTGAAACCAACAATATCAATGCACGTATCTCATCATCAAAATCAATTTTAACTGATGACAACTAATTTATAATAATGTTGAAATCATTTAGGTGTTGAGCAACAGACACACCTTCTGTCATCTTCAAGTTGAATAATCTTTTCATCAGATGCACCTTGTTATTCGCCGATGACTTTTCATACATAACTGATAAAGTCACCATGAGATCTACAGTAATCCTTTCCTTGATGACGTTGTGGGCAACCGATCTCGACAGGGTTAATCATATAACCCCCAGAACTTGTCGATCCAACAGATTCCATTCCGCCTCGTCCATCTTTTCTGGTGGCTTTCTCAGTAACGGAAGAAGGAGGTTCTTCCCATAGATGGAGTCCTCTATCATCCTCTAGTAAACAAAATCTGTGTTGTTGAACTTCTCGATCTCGGATGTCATCTCTTCGTCTCCGCCCATCGTTCTTCCTTAGATTCGAACCCAATCTCTGATATCAGTTGTTGTGAAAAACGACAACAATAAAACGAAAAATGAAACGAGTAAGATTACACGCTGAAAAATACCAGAGACACACAGATTTACGTGGTTCGACAAATTTGCCTACGTCCACGGAGTTGCAGAGGATATTATTTCTTCGAGAAATTACACCGTCGAGCGCCTCTACCATTACAAGAAAATATATATTTTCTTCTCTCCCTTCCTATCTCTCTCTTCCTCCCTTTCTCTTAGCTCTCAAGAGGCTTGGTCTTGCTTGGCTTGACTTCTCTTTTAAGCCAAAAGAGGCTATTTATAAAAACCATGAGAGCGGTAGGTGGGAGATATGTGAGCGGTATGTGGGATGTGGTAGGTGAGTGGTAGGTGGGAAGATAGGTGAGCGATTGAAATTTTTAATTAGGAAGCTAATTAAATTTCGATGGACCGGATCTCCATATTACCCAACAAGCAGTAGAACATCAGCTAAGCTTAGAGAAGGAAGGGAATTCCCATATTCATTAGTTACAACAGAACGGAGAATACAATGGAAATAATTCCTGTAGGTTCAATGGAAATAATTCCTGTAGGTTATGCATTGCAGTAAAGGAAACACTGCAAGTAATATAGAAAGCTGAAACTATATTCTAGAAGAAGTTAGTTAAGTGGTAAAGCAGGAAATGCATGTTAAATGGTAGTGGAGACTTCCCTGTTACTAGTGGTGGTAAGGTTGTTATTAGCCCCCCGCAAGCTGACGCTGATTGTTTGAAGTGTCAGCTTGTCTTTAAGAAGTGTGAATCGAGGTGTTGTTGAGCACTTGGTGAAAATGTCTGCCATCTGAAGATTGGTAGGTATGTGTGTTAGATCAACTTTCCAAGATTGTAGTTTCTCTCCAAAGAAATGGTAATTGATACATGTGTTTTGTACGAGAGTGGAAAATTGGATTGCGAGCAATTGCGAGAGCTAAGGTATTATGACAATGAATGGTGGTTGGAGAGGTAACAAGAACATTAGATCTTGTAGTAATTGTTGTAAACATATAACATCCGTGGCAGCTGTAGAGAGTTCTCAATACTCAGCCTCTATAGAGGACTTAGCACGTTGGGTTGTTTCTTTACATGCCAGGAAATAAGATTGGTTCCAAGGAATGAGCTGTAACCTGTAATGATCGGCGATCGTTGGGGTCACTTGCCCAGCTAGCGTTTGAATAGCTGCTGGGCTGCATCGGAAGACTATATTCGAGTTTTCCTTTAATGTAATGAAGTAAGCGCTTGAGTTGTTGAAAATGTAAACAAAGTGGTTGTTGAAGGTGTTGGGATAATGAATTGACTGTAAATGCTATGTCCGGTCTTGTGAGATGATTGTTGAAAGTAATGAACCATTGACGAGGCAACTTCTTAAAACCATAAATGGCTTTCCGTAATAAACATACATAATTAGGTTGGTTGCATCAACATATCCTTGAGACAGGTGCATGTATAGGGTTTCTTGAAGATTGCCGTGAAGAAAGGCGTTTGACACGTCCGACTGTAATATCGGCCATTGAAGGGTAACTGAAATGGTCAAGAGGGTTCAAATAGTTGGAGGTTGAGCAACAGGACTGAATGTTTCTGTATAGTGTAAGCCATACTGTTGGTGGTATCCCTCGGCCACCAGTTGAGCTTTATATTTAGCAATTGTCCTGTCGGGTTGCGTTTGAGCTTGTGTGTCCTTTATTGCCAACAATGGATTGATGAGGTTGGCGTGGGATGCTGTTTTTGAAGAGCTTCCATTTCAACTTGCATAGCCCTACACCAATTGACATTGGAGTTAGCTTCAGCGAAGGTGAGAGGTTCAAGATCGGTTTGAAAGCTGTGTGGTAATGTGAAGATGTGTTTGGGTTTAAGGGTGCCGGTTTTGGATTGTGTTATCATGGGATGCTTGGGTATGGGTGAGATAGATGCTGTAGAGAGCTGGGGAGAAATTTGTGTGTGTTCTTTAAGGATTGGGATTGGTGGTTTTGAAGGGGAATGTAGTATTGGTAAAGGACTGGATGGGTTTGCTGGAAGAGTTTCGGGTGATGTGGGGGAAGCCGGAGTGGTGGGTTCTGTGACTGGAGGGCTTTTGGTTTGATTGTGTTTAGATGCTGTAGAGGAGGGACGGTTGGAAGAAGTATTAGAGGAGGTGGAATGGGAGGTATTGGATTAGAGGTGGTGGCTGATGTTTGGATGTTTTTATATGGATAGTTGAGTTCATTAAATCACGTTATGGGACAAAATGATTTTGCCACTTGATGGGTGAAAGCATTTAAAACCTTTGAGATTGTTTGGGTAGCCTATGAGTACGCATGAAGAAGTTTTTTTATCAAGTTTGCTGCGACTCTGTGATGGAATCCAAGGGAAGCACTCAGCATCCAAATGCTTTCAGATTTGCATAGTCAGGTGGTTGCTTGGAAAGGAGTTGATATGGGGAGGAGTTTTGAGTGCTACGAGATGACATTCTGTTGATAAGATTCATGGCTGTTAGAATCGTGTCAGGCCAAAAATTTAAGTGGTAAGTTAGAGGTAGCAAAGAGAGATCGAGCTGTATCGAGAATGTGGCGATATTTTCTTTCGGCGAGGCCGTTCTGTTGGGGAGTACATGGACATGAGAGCTGACGTATAATGCCATGTTTGGTTAGGAAATCTTCAAATTGCCGGTTTTGATTGTGTCAGGCCAAAAATTTAAGTGGCAAGTTAGAGATAGCGAAGAGAGATTGAGCTGTATCGAGAATGTGGCAATATTTTCTTTCGGCGAGCCCGTTCTGTTGGGGAGTACATGGACATGAGAGCTGACGTATAATGCCATGTTTGGTTAGAAAATCTTCAAATTGCCGGTTTTGATTTTCCCCTCCGCCATTGGTCCGTAGGATCTTAATATGGGTATTAAATTGCTTTTCAATTTGGTTCTTAAAATTTCTGAAGTGATTTATAGTTTCAGAATTGTGTGTCATAGGAAACGCCCTAGTATATCTAGTGGCGTGATCAGTAAAGAGAACATAGAAGTGAAATCCTTGATTTGAAATATGTGTGGAGGAACCCCATACATCAGAACGAATAAGTTCAAGGGGAAGATACTTGTGATTACTAGATCAATAAAATGGTAATCTATATCATTTGGCTGTAGTACATGAATTTACAAAAAGAAATATAGTTTCGAATATGTAAATGTGGATGCTGATATGCTATTAGGCGAAGAACGGTAGTATTGGAATGGTCAAGCCTTGGATGCCAGACTTTGGCGGAAGCAGTTCTTGAGAGTAGCGCTTGCTTTCTGATGGAAATAGGATAGAGTCCTTCACAACAAAGGCCCTGGAGGAGGATTTGCTGAGTATTGCGATCCTTGATTTGATAGCCCAATGCATCAAAAACAATAATGCAACTGTTACCGCTGGCAAATTGGTATATAGAAATTAAATTATGAGTGATTTGTGGAGTGTGAAGGAGTTTGGATAGGAGGAGCGTACAGGTTGGTGTAGAAAGCAAACCTTGATCGCTGTTTGCTGACAAACACTTGCTCTTGTCCTTGGTAAGGGTCTGAATGTTGTAGTGCCTCGAGGTCGGCTGTAAGATGATTTGAAGCTCCAGTATCTAAATACCAATCTTGTTTAGCTGCTGAGGAGGTTATGAGTGCAATGTGGCATGCCGGTTGCTTAGGTTGATAGTCAAAATTACCCCTATGCCAGCATTGAGGAGCAAGGTGCCCTGGTTTAAGGCAGATTTCGCAAGTTTCAAAGTTGTTGGATTTCAACTGCTTGTATCTTGTCCCATTTCCTCTGTAATTGAATCGGCCTCTCCCTCTTTGAGAATACAAGGCTGCATAGTTATCTACCTGCAGCTAATTTTCACTGTTTTAGTTCGATAGCTTGATTTCTTCGCTTTGAAGTAGAGAATATAGATCTACGAAGCTGATTGATGATAAAGAAGCTCTGATTGCGGCTTTGAAGGATTGATGCTCAGGAGATAGACTTTTGAGGATATATTGGATTACATCTTTTGTATCTATTGATGAGCCAGAAGCGGATATATTTTCAACTATTACCTTGATTTGCATCAGATATGGGTTCATAGATTGACCTTTCATTGACACCTTATGAAGCTCATTTTTGAGCTGGATGACCTTCGATATGTTGGTACCTTGAAGGCGTTTTTCCAGGGCTGTCCATATGTCATGGCAGCTATCGAGGTTGATGACGTGAGGTAGCACGGTTGCGGAAATTGTGGATAGCATTGCCGCTGCGAGGTTTTGATCCACCAGAAAGATAGGTGCGATTAGGGCATGCGACACCGTCTGCAGCGGTGATGGTTGCAGAGGGTTTGGAGATTGACCAATCTATGAATCCGTCGAATCCATTGGCGTTGATGACTTTTGAGAGCTGCGATTTCCATAGAGAATAGTTATCAATGGAGAGAGATGTGTTGACAACAGTTCTGATGTTGGATTCAAGAAATTTGAGGGAAGGTGGCATCGGCTGCTCTTCGATCTTTAGGGCTGCTAGGTTGTTGCTGAACACCGAGGATCTTGAATCATCCATTGGTGCATTATAGCCACAGCTCTGATACCATATAAGGAAATGTAGGAGAAGGAAGAGGAGGAACTCAGTAGAACAGCAGCTAAGCTATTTATGTAAATACCCGTTTTCTTAATTCAAATTTCCTATATTCTCTATTATATCCTTACAACAGTTGGTCATTTACCTTCTTTTCCTAAAATGGAAGCTGTAATTGATATGTTTGCTTGGATGCAAAATCATGAGCTTCGTATATGCTTTTTCATATTATTTTCATCCCTTTCCTTCTGGCCACCATAGCTGCGACATCATTTTATAATTATATAATCTTTATAGTCACACCTAATGCCTATCCTTCCATTAATTCCTCTGTAATTTTTCTCAGTTCAATGGAACACAAACCAAGCCCAGACTCTCCGTTTTCTGCTCTACCAGGCAACTATATGCCATGCTTGTTGATGACCATAACAAGAAGACTCTGTTTTATGCCAGCACTTTACAGAACTCCATGCGTGAGGATCCTCCTTGTAGCACCTCAGTATGTTTTACCATTCCACATTTCGACTATATGTGCTGCATGCTTTTATTTTTGGCTTTCTATATTCTAACCCCTTAACAACTCTTATTTGCTGAAAGATTGTTAAATTGAACTTGGTTTATTACTTTCTTTTGCTGTGCTTCGATTAATGAGGTTCATTAGTTCTGGATTTTCAAATTATGTGAGTTACAAATAGTAATTTTGCATTTTTTTTTGTCTTTCTGTGTGCTCAAATGAAGTTATGGTGAATTACTATTAATTGATTGATCTCTTAATTATTTGGGTGTATGTGTAAAAATGACAGGAAGCGGCGCGGAGGGTAGGGGAAGCGCTTGTTCAAGCATGCACAGAGCTGCAAATTTCTGAGATATCATCATACGATCGCAATGGATTCGCTCGCGGAGAAAGGATGCAAGCTTTTGAGGTTGCCATTGCACAATATGGGTTGCTAAGTAGGTGATTGATTAAGGTCTACTAGTTTAAATTTTATGATTAATGGTCAAAGAGTATGATTGTAAGTGAGTGGATGTATCTGTTAAAGGGAGTTTAACTCCTATTATTTTGCGTCCGGAGTTCGGATGTAAAATTTTTGCCTTGTGTAGTGATCATATCTTGATTGAATTTGTATTAGGATTTGACAATTATTAAATTTGTTTTGGGATTAGTATTATATATCAAGTGTGTAGTTGTGCATAATTATCTGAGAGATATCCATAGATTAATATGGTCAAACCAATTGACATATGTAGTAGTTACAGCATGATGTATTTAATAATTGAGTGAACATGTATTTATATACGCCACTTGAATCCATCCAATCAAATCATAAACCTTCATACAATTTAAATCAAGAACTTCTGTAATCCATTTTAGAATTGTAATTTATTTTTTCATAAACTTATAGTAAAATTAAATGCTTTCGTAGGATGAACCTAATGATACTAAAAATGTCTCAAATTGAATCCAAGTGGATTTAAATTAAGTACTTAAAGCATGATTAAAGATTATGAGAGGGTTTGTTATATACTTGTAGTTGAAGTGAGTTTCTTGATAAGATCAATAAATTAATGCTTAAATTACTCACTTTTTTATTAGGGATTTAAGATATTTAAGAAGATAATATATAATAGGGGATCAATAAGAACTATAGGATGGAATTGTTAAGACTTGTTTATTCAAAATGATCAGTGTCCTTTTCTAGAAATCTATGAATATTCATTCTTTCACACATTTGATGGAAGCTGAGATGACACTGCATCTCTGGTGGTTGGGCACGATCTCAAATGACAGGTGGCAACCATCGGTACTTTAAAAGTTAAGATTCTTAGTGTCTTAATGACATCGAATTGAATGATCGTAGACTTGTTGGAATCTTCTCATCAAGATGCTCAATTTGAATGGAAGCATGTCAAATTTTAAAATCGTTTGAGCTCTAAATGGATTCATCCAAATTTTAAACAACGCTTCAAGTGTTTGATTTAGGCTTATTTGGATTCGAATTTCATCACTCTCGGCATCATTAGGTTTGTCTTGACACTTAGTTTGGCTATGTTATTGTTGAGATCGAGGCGCGAATGGCTTTAATTTGAATTCAAATATTTTTTACTCAAAATGCTTCGAGATTCGAAGATATTCACCACTAGCATGGATGATGCTCACCGTCATCAATATTTCCAATGCTTGACATCATCAATAAGAGGACACCCATTATTTCCAACTTGTTGTAGATTCAATGCCCTGAGAATTATAAGGAAAAAATGTCGTAACTCGATTAATATGAATAATATAGAGTAATGAAAATATTAAAAAAAACCAATATAATAAAAAAAGATAATATACATATATACCACTAAATTTCTATTTATTTAGATATCTAACATCTAAACTTTGAATAGTACATACATGCCACTTTATATATGCATACAAAAAGGTGTATTTTACTTCTCAAAAACTAAAATGGTACTATTTTTAATATGGCAGGAAGGATTTGGTCGGCGTAAATGTTTAAAATTAAAAGTGTAGTTGTTAGATATGTAAATACATAAGAAGTTGGGGGAGTAACTGGCAACAATTTCGCTATCATATAATTTCTATTTGACGAGACCAGACACCAAATCGTTCTGGCGCAGTTGCCGAGTAGATCTCATGGCTTAGAGGAGGTCAAGAGTTCGAATCCCTCCTTAAAAGGACTAAAAAGAGCAATGACGAAATTGCCCAGCGATGGTTGGATTTCCATCTCTGTCATCAATTATCGATGACAAGGGTTTAAACCGAGCTCATATATTTTTCTTTCTCTTAATTCATTTGAAATGAATTTTTTTTAGTCGCTTAATTAAAGATTTTCTAATAAAATAACATAAGTTAGTGGGAAAAATCATTAGCATAGATTTTAATTTTTTTAATGTATAATTTTCTTATGTTTTATTTATTTTTTGAATGGAAAAAGATTTCTTTGTATGCATGGTAATATATTCTTGATTTATAATTTAATTTGATTTTGTTTCTTAATTATTTTCAAGTGGGATTAATTGTTTCATTCTTTGCTAACATAAATATAGTTTTGTAATTGAAATTAGGAGCCCTTTCAAATAAATCTTACTCCTTCTAAATTTAATATATTATACATTTATCTTTACTCTTTCAAATAAATAAGTTAAATTACTATTTTGCATTTTTTTTTTCAAATTCTTGTTAATAAATAATATTTTCACTGAAATCTTAAAAAATTCAAACTTTTTCCATCCAATTCCACCACCATTATATATAAGTTTGTGATTGAGATGTTAGTAAAGGTATTATTTAACATGCTAGTTCGGTCAAAACCAAAATCAAATCAAACTGAGTTTGTTTTGTTGATTTCATTTAATTTTAAAAGAGTCATTCAATTTTTTCTTTTAAAATTTTGAATATTTAATTTTTCAATCGGTTTTATTTTGTATTAAACCAAACAAATAAATAATGGATTAATAATAGTATTAGAAAATTAAATTTATTTGAGAGAAAAATAACTTGAGTATATGGTATATTTATTTTAGTTTAGTTTGTGTTAAAAACTCTTAGGTTGTTTCAAATTTTATAAATTCAACAACTCAGAAGAGAATTTGTGATATGAGTAGAGGAGGTGAAAATAAAGATACCTACCCCTTTCTATTTATGTTTATGTGCCTCGTAGGGTGTCTTTACCCATATAGGGCTACAAAAAATAGTAAGAACTAAGGAAATGCTATATTATAGTCCGTACTATACTACTATATTGGA